AGCTGCAGGCTATTGAAGGCTGCTCTGCCCCCTGCTCTGCTCTTGGCTTCAGCGTGAGCTAGGAGGCAGGTTGTAACGGTACTCACAGGCTCTACTACGACATATACAGAAGAACACTAACTATTGCTGAAAATTTGATCCAATCCAGTAAGAAAATATCTAAAAAGGAGTAAGTTAGTTAAAAGGAAAAGGTAGAAGGAGAGCCATAACTCTTTACGTTGCTGGAAGTTACTTAAAACCACAATGGTGTAAGCTCAGCTAGAATTTGTATCACAGGTTAGAAAAAAAAAACTTCAGGCCAAGATAATGCCCAAAGCAAGATCCAGAAATCAGTAAGAATCAGTAAGAAACAGTAAGAACTGTTGCTCAGGTCAGAGTAGGGAAAGTTCTGGCAAAATGAATGTGATCTGGCAGTAATGTGGATGGAAAAAGTGTTTAGGTGGTTTTAGAAGGCAGTTAGGCACATTAATGGAAGATCGGTTTAGCAGCAACCTTGAAATACAATAGCTACATGTACGGCAAGAGTAATCTTACTGAGTGTTAATAATCCTGACCTGATCTGGATTTAGAAGTATCTGATGGAGAGCAGGTGGTTGGATAAGGACTGTCTATCTTTTTCTGTAAGGGTCTTTCTTTGTTAACAAGTACAAACTTTGCAAAATTGTTCAAACTATCCAAGTTCGCATAATTTCTTACTCTGTACAGTTCATTTTTCATATAATTCTGTAAGCCCTGCCACAGACATTGGAAATTAATATTCCTTTTGCTCTTTATTGCATCTGAGGTAATGTTACAGCCAAAAAGACTAGAAATATTCTTTAAAATTAAAATAAAACTCCTCTTATAAGATTGGCATAAATATATGTGTCCCGTACTGGTTGTGTTGTGGGTATTGTTCTGTGTGAGGAAATAGGATTGTTGATAGTTCAGTTGGTACCTTTTTGTTCTTGAGCTGCTGTTTACAGTGTACACATACGCTCATGGCTATACACAATGAAATAAATCAGTACAGGAAAAATAAGGAACAGATTATGCCACGGAGGAAATAGGCTGCTTAAATCTATATAAATAAAAATGTAATATTCGTTTGTGGGATTAACAGAATTCAAAAACCACTGGACGAATTGACACAAATCTGGAAACAAGACACCTAACAGCCCAATGTATGTCCTTCACTCAAAGAAATTGATTTTGTAATTTGGGAGTTGTAGTTGCTGGGATTTATAGTTCATCTACAATCAAAGAGCATTCTGAACTCAGCCAATGATGGAATTGAACCAAACTTGGCACACAGAACTCCCACGGCCACCAGAAAATACTGGAAGGGTTTGGTGGACAGTGTCCTTTGGTTTTGGAATTGTAGTTCACCTACATCCAGAGATCACTGTGGACTCAAACAATGATGGATCTGGGCCAAACTCTACACAAATACTCAATATGCCAAAATGTGAACACTGGTGGAGTTTGGGGAAAATAGAATCTTGACATTTGGGAGTTGTAGTTGCTGGGATTTATAGTTCACCTACAATCACAGAGCATTCTGAACCCCACCATGATAGAATTGGGCCAAACCTCCCACACAGAACCCCCACAGCAACGTGTGGCAGGGGACAGCTAGTATTTAATAAGATGCTGGTTTGTAAGCCAAGACATCGTAGCAAGTGTGCTCTGTCCTGTAAAGAGGTGAAAGGTTTAAAATTTGGCTCAAATGCTGAAGTCCTATTTACTTAACCCTAGGTCAGGATTCAGTTGAAGCTGAGTTCTTTTCGATCCTTCATACTCAAAATTGCACCTTAATATTGATCTTTTCACAGAGATCAAGTATTGAATGTTTCCATTGACTAGTGAAGGCAAAACTTGTTTGCTCAGGCATTTCTCTTTACCAACCAGCCCTGGTGATTTTAATGAAATATTTTAATGTCTTGTCAGTGAGCCCTCAGTTCCAGGTCCCCCAGGAATACCAAGTCATAGAATCATAGAATCAAGAGTTGGAAGAGACCTCATGGGCCATCCAGTCCAACCCCCTGCCAAGAAGCAGGAATATTGTATTCAAATCACCCCTGACAGATGGCCATCCAGCCTCTGTTTAAAAGCTTCCAAAGAAGGAGCCTCCACCACACTCCGGGGCAGAGAGTTCCACTGCTGAACGGCTCTCACAGTCAGGAAGTTCTTCCTCATGTTCAGATGGAATCTCCTTTCTTGTAGTTTGAAGACATTGTTCCGCATCCTAGTCTCCAGGGCAGCAGAAAACAAGCTTGCTCCCTCCTCCCTGTGGCTTCCTCTCACATATTTATACATGGCTATCATATCTCCTCTCAGCCTTCTCTTCTTCGGGCTAAACATGCCCAGCTCCTTAAGCCGCTCCTCATAGGGCTTGTTCTCCAGACACTTTATCATTTTAGTTGCCCTCCTCTGGACACATTCCAGCTTGTCAGATGTCCAAGTCCCATTGACATATCAAACATTCCCTTTATATAAAATAGGAAGGGTTGTTTTTTGGATTAAAAATACTTTCAAGCAGTGAATGGTTGAATCTGTGGGTATGAAAACTGTAGACAAAGAGAGCTGGCTATATTTTACTTGTGGGTACAAGGGAGAGAGCCTACTCCTCTGTAGCCCCCCAACTCTGGAACTCATTGCCCGGAGAGATTAGGAAAGCCCCTACTTTAAAAAGAATCTCTGCGGTTGCACTTTCGGA